CCATTATGTTTTTTGGTTTGTTGGAGGAGAAGGGGAGAGAGAGAGAGAGAGAGAGAGAGAGAGAGAGAGAGAGAGAGAGATTTATTCATTATTTCGAATGATAATGATGTTGATAATAATAATAATAATGGAGCGATAAAAAAATGATCCATTCATTTATTCACCATCATCACATTGTATGTGAATGATCCACATTTTTTCCCATTCCTACATTTCAATCCATATATTGAATCCAGTCATTTAACCACCGCCATATCATACATACATACAGTGGTCGTTAGTTTGCCTCTTAATGACCGATTGTTTTTCAGCTTTAACGGAGTAAAAAGCCGCAGCCAAAAAATATCTAAATTTTAAAAACATTTTTTTCCATCATCATCAGATTGCCTGGGTTTGATTATGGCCATTACTTTTACCATGGAAAAACGAACTACGAACGAAAAAAAAATCCGCCTTTATCATCATCATCATCCGTATTGACTTTATGATGATGATCCTGGATCATAATTGTTTTGTTTTTTTCTCTGAAAAACATCCTGGTGGACAGATGCTGTGTGAAATAAAGAGATTAACGCCACTTGTGTGCCTGTCTCTATCTCTCTCTCTCTCTCTGTGTTCAATTCATTTGGCCAACCATTTCACCACCACTTACCACTGATGATAATCATCCTCATCATTATTATTAATGAATTGCTTGTTACTTGTGTGTGAGAGATTTATGAATGAATGAATGGAGAAAAAAAACTGATAATTATAATTCATTTGTCCTGTTCAGGTCCTTTTTAAGCTAAGTTCACATAGCTTCCTATTATCATCATCATCCTGAATGATGATGATTTTGATGCGGATAATGATATTCAATAGAAAACCTTCTTTTTTTGTTTTGTTTTCTTTATTTTCAAAGTTGAAATTTGAATCTCGAATTTCAATTTTTCTTCGCTGTTGTTTGTTTCTTCGCTATTGTTTTTTTCTCGCTGACAGTCGACTTATATCCGACTGATTCAGCACAAACAAACACTGTACTGATGATACCTGATGGTTAAATTTGTCAAGTCATTTACTACCTGATTTGATTTGGTTTTTGCTCAGTGTTTTTGTTGCACAATCATCATCATCCATAATTCGTCGTTTTGTTCGGTTTTGTTTTCAAGGATGTTTGAAATTTCACTGTCACTACCTGCATTTGTTTTTTTTCTGTTAACCTGCATTTTTTAGCTACCATCCCTTTACTCTCCATATGATTTTTCATTCAAAACATTCTTCTTCGGATGAATTTTTGTTTCAATGCCATCATCATTGAATTGACTTGTTGTTGTTCAATTCTCAGATTTCCATTCACAAAATTTTTTTTTTCAATTTTTTCATCAGTTTTTCTACTGGGTAAGCTTTTTTCGAGAATATTGACCAGAAATTTTCCAGAAAATATCACTGGATTATCGGATTAGTAAAAAACCGTCAGTTAGTCGGCAACAAAAAAAAACTAAAATTTTTTGTTGATAATCTTTGTCTGATCTGTTAATTTTTTTCATTTTGGTTATCACCCAAAAATCCACTCTTTGGTTAAGTTTGTTTGTCTGATGTGGTGTGTGTCTTACGTTTGTTTACGTTAACGCTTCTTTCTTCTTTCACATCATCATCACACACGTATTTAAATAGTGTAAATTAATCATCATCACATCACTGGATTTACATATAAACATAAACAAACATAATAATACATAATTATTTCCGAAATGTTTAAATCATTTTCTTTCATCTCATCATCATCATCATCATTGGTGACATAATTTACGAAAAAAAAGCTTGTTTTTTTATTGCAGAATGACATGATACTTACTTGTGACTTGCCACTTATATTATGCAATGAATTCTTCTTCCTTGATTGACGAAGTTCGCCCACGTTTTTTATTCACCGAAAATCAAATGAAAGTTTCTTTCATTTGAAAACAAACTACCATCAACCATTAGACCATTCTGTATTTCAAAAAAAAACATTTTCATTATTCAGATATCCGACACACACAGACGACAAACTTATCAACCAGAATAAAAAAAAATTCTTGATTTTATTTCACCAAGAGAGAGAGAGAAAGATGGCAAACAAGAGATTATTCTCTGTCTTTGTGTGGTAAAGCATATTCTTGCCATTTTCCTTTTTTTTTTTGCAAAATTCAAGTCATTCCACTTTCACACACATACACACACACAGAATTTCTATCATCATATTCGGTGAATGCTGTCTTGGATGTCAAAAAAAGTTTTTATTATTTTTTTTCAATTTAAAAATTTTCCAATTACAAATTTTTTTACAAGTTTTTTTTCTTGCAAAAACAAATTAAAATTTGTCTCTCTCTCTCTCTCTCTCTCTCTCTCTCTCTCTCTCTGAGTGTGTGCAATCATCAAAAACAATCACCATTCAGTCATTCATTCTATGTGATTGCATAACCAGAAAAAGAAGAAGATTTTCATTTTTTGTATTTGATCTNATCATCACATCACTGGATTTACATATAAACATAAACAAACATAATAATACATAATTATTTCCGAAATGTTTAAATCATTTTCTTTCATCTCATCATCATCATCATCATTGGTGACATAATTTACGAAAAAAAAGCTTGTTTTTTTATTACAGAATTTTCTTTTTATTGCAGAATGACATGATACACTTACTTGTGACTTGCCACTTATATTATGCAACAAATTCTTCTTCCTTGATTCGAAATTCGCCCACGTTTTTATTCACCGAAAAATCAAATGAAAGTTTCTTTCATTTGAAAACAAACAAACATGACACTATCATCAACCATCAACAACAACCATTAGACCATTCTGTTTGAGATTTCTGTTTCTGTTTTTTCCAAAAAAGAAGCATTTTAACCATTCAGATATCCGACACACAGACGACAAACTTATCAACCAGAATAAAAAATGCATCATTTCAGAGAGAGAGAGAAAGAAAAAAAGAGAGAAAGATGGCAAACAAGAGATTATTCTGTGCATAAAGCATCTTCTTTTTTTTGCAAAATTCAAGTCATTCCACTTTCACACAGAATTTTCTATCATCATATTCGGTGAATGCTGTCTTGGATGTCAAAAAAAAAGTTTTTATTATTTTTTTCAATTTAAAAATTTTCCAATTACAAATTTTTTTACAAGTTTTTCTTTTCTTCCGAAATTTGTGTTTGCAAGAACAAATTAAAATTTGTCTCTCTCTCTGTGCAATCATCAAAACAATCACCATTCAGTCATTGCATAACCAGAAAAAGAAGAAGATTTTCTTTTTTGTATTTGATCTTTGAACCAAATCTTCCTTGATTTCAAATGACGGATTCTGTCTGGGTTGGATTTTTTTGTTTTGTCATTTGAAAATCAATGTTTTCTGTGTTTGCTTGTTTTGTTGATTAGTCATTTTTTTTGTTGGATGCTTATGGCTGCTGCATCCATTTTCAACAAAAAGAAAGTTTCGCAAAAAACTTTGCTCACATTTCATTTTTGTTTGAATAAATTTTCTCGCATTAGTCATCTGATGCTTTCAGCTTGTGAAGGAATTTTTATTGTTGTTTTCACAAATTTTTTAACCCGTAGACATCCTCACACACGTTTTTTATTGCTGAAAATCAATCCTATTCATTCAATGATTTTTTCGTTTTGCAACAGATTTTTCTCCCTACAACAACAACAGCAATAATAACACTTTACTTCCGCATCGAATTACATAATGATCGATTGATTACGGATTACGGATTCATTCATTCATTGATTGATCACGTGTGAATCAACCACCTTTGAAGATTCAAACTGCAAATTGAAAAACTTTTTTTTTTCTTCACCAAACATGACTCTCACTGATCATTGGCCACCACCGACGCATCGCACTACAGGAAATCCCCGCCACCATCATGATGATATTAATTTAGCCGAACAATCAACAATGATGATGATGATGGTGGGAATGGAATCACCACCACCACCGCCTTTGGACAACGGTGTTAGACAAACACAAACAACAACAACAACAACCGACGATAGTGATGATCATCATTGTTTAGAAACATCAAAACGTTCATTTTCAGCTTGTACACTTTCATTAACCGATTCTGATCGATCATATTCATCAACATCAACATCAACAACAAATGATCAACAATTCAGTACAGGATATTTTGAACGAAAATCATATCGTCCATTTCGTTCAAATGAAGAATATCTGATTGCAATGAAAGAAGATCTTGCTGAATGGTTAAATACATTGTATGGATTGGATTTAACATGTGATAATTTTCTGCAACGTTTAGAAACCGGTGTTATACTGTGCCAGTAAGTCAAATCAATATAACCCTTTGTTAACCCCTGATAATCTTTACTTTTTCCCCTCTCCCCCTTACGAAACAGACATGCCAATTCTGTATTGCGTAAAGCACGTGAATGGCGTATGTTAAACGATGGAAACGCAAACGCTAACGCAACCAACAATGGTTATTCTTCATTACTTTCATTGCAATCATTTAATTCTGCAACAAATTCATCATCATCATCATCGACTGCCATGAATAGTGATATTGCCATCATCAACGATCATCAGCAACAGCAACATTGGTCATCGAATGATAATCGTCAAATGGTACCAATCAAATTGAATGCATTACCCGGAACATTTCAATCACGTGATAATGTTGCAAATTTTATTGAATGGTGTCGCCGAATACAAATTCATGAATGTTTATTATTTGAAACAGAAGATTTGGTTGGTAGGAAAAATGAAAAAAGTTTCATACTTTGTTTGTTGGAAGTTGCACGTTATGGTGCTAAATTCGGTATGTGTTTTTTTTGTTCAGTTTTCGTCTTTTTTCCCACCTAAATATCCCTTCATCATTGACCTTTTTTTTCCCACTTTGTTGAAACGGTCATGTCACAATAGTCGTCACAAAAAAAATATTGCAAACTTGGAAATTGAAAAAATCAATTTAGAATTTAGATTAGAAAAAAAAGATTTGTGACCATTTGATGATGATGTTGATGATGACCACATCATTATCGTCTGTCATCAAATGTCCATTAGCAAGAGAGAGAGAAAGGTTAGGTTATCCTCATCATCATCATCATAATGATGTTGATCCTGATTTCCTCTGTTGTGCAATTTTGTCACGACTTTTATGAATTTTTTTTAAAACTAAAAACTAATGTCCTGGTTATGTTTATCGAATTGTTGTTTTAACCCTTTACTCTTCTCTCCCTTTTCCAATTCGGAAAAATCAAAACATAGGTGTACTTGCACCAACACTTGTCCAATTTGAACAAGAAATTGATCAAGAAATTGAAAAAGATCAACAACAACAAAATATGGGCCATTCACAAATACCATATATGATACAACAAAAACATCCATCCGGATATGATATTGGTTGTAACATCGATGATGATGATGATGATACAATACCATCACAGCCACAACAGCAGATAATCAACAATGATCTCGAATCTTTACACGAAAAGGTAATTTCTTCCTGGAAAATTTTCCGAGAAAAAAAAATAAATTTACGAAAAAATTTCTCCATATATTTTACCCGGGGTTTAGGTTGTAAATTTATTATCACGTTGTACGTGTCCAGTACAATTTTATTTGGAACATTTATCCGAAGGAAAATATCGTATCGGTGATACACGTACATTAATTTTTGTTCGGGTAAGTTTTGCATTTTTTAACATTTTCCCCAAATTGATGCTTCAGTCAGTCAGTCGGTCTCTCTGGAGAATTGTTCAATCATCATCATCATCATCATCATCCACATCTTCGTTGTAGTTTTTTTTTATTGAGTTTTCGCCAAATTGAGATCAAAAAAAAATTCAATCACCGAACGAACGATCGGCAGATAGATTCTAACAAAATTGAATCAATTCAATTCAATTATCATGAAAAAAAACCCCAGTGGAGATGATGAGGTTAATTAATGAAAAAAAAATTGCCAAAGAAATCACAATTTGTCGATTCACGAGTGTTAATTCTTGATTCTTGATTTTTTGATTCTTGATTTATTTATGAAATATGGTCGCCTTTTAAATAATTTATTCCATTTTTGTTATGGGCAAACTAAGTGTTAATTTTTTTGTTGAAAGAAAGAAACATTAAATAAAAGAGTTCAAAGGTGTTAAATACATGTCATTAATATATTTGACAAGTTGTTAAGGTGCCTGAATTATCGACATACCTGAATTAGTTTTGTCAAAAAAAAAAAAAAAAAATTAACACCGTTGTGGTGGTGGTGGTGATTATGGTTATGGTTGTTGTTTTTTCTTTTTTTGATTAAACTTGGAAATCATTTTAAACCACCACCACCACCACCACTATTGTATCGATTTCTCGAAGCACACTGGGTCATGGCCAATTTGATTTGATACAGAAAATTTTTTTCAATTTCCATTTAACCGATTTGCGATTGAAAATTTTGAACTAATTTTTTTTTTAAATCATTTTTTTCCCCTTTCTTTCCCCCATTCATTCAACGAAATCTGATACATGCAGATCTTACGTAATCATGTTATGGTTCGTGTTGGTGGTGGATGGTAAGTTTTTTTTATTTTTAAAAATTTTTAAATTTTCAAATTGAAAAATACCAAAAACAAAACAAAACAAGAATGATGCATTGCATAACCACGAAACCAAAACTAAAAAACCAAACAAAATCTGAATCGGGTTAGTTCCGGTTTTGATAACAAAAAAAAAAAAAAAAGGCTGGACAGCAATCACGAATGACAAGTATATCGTATAACACGCAAAATATTCATTTCATTCAGGTAGTTTGTCACTCACTCACTCAGGTAGTTAGTCTAATGTCCACTCATCCGTATCCGAATGATGATTTCTATTTCTATTCTTGTTTGATGCAAAAAAAGAAGTTTTTTTTATTTTTAAAAACAAAAAAAAATTCCCACCTTGTTTGTTTCCATAATGGTGATGGTGGTGGTGGTCATATTTGGAACATAGTTAGTTAGCGCCTTGATGATTCATTAATGGCCATCATCATCAAACAACAGCAGCAAATAATTCCATTTCCTTTCTTGGAACAAATATGAAGATGGTGTGGCTCGTTTCATAGGCAAGGAAGCAAGGATAAGCAAGGCAAGGCGCCATCAGTTTAACCATGCATCATCAAAAAGCCAACAAACAAAAAGCCATTATCATCATCATTACATAATCTAGGTCAACAACACACTCACGCCATACACACAAAAGATTGGCGCGCGCGTTCGCCTATTTTTTTTCTGTATGGATGGCGTCATAACGAAAAAAAATATCCAATCATTGAGCATAGTTACGCCATCTATGAACGCAATCTATGATTTGTTTTTTTTGGCGCCATATTTTTTTCAAATTCAAATTTTTTTATCGCATTAATTCTTCATCACAGGGATACATTGGAACATTATCTGGAAAAACATGATCCATGTCGTTGTCGTTTTGGTAAGTTTTTTTTGCGGTTGCGTTTTGTTTGCGTTTTCTTTATTCGCAATGAATTTTTTTGGTTGATAATTTCCGAACAGGTCATCATCGCAATACAGGTTCCGCACGAGTTTCATTACCTTATTCATCATCGAATTTAAATCACGTGACACCAGTACATCAGCGGAATCAGTCGCAGCAGCAGCCGCAATCAATTACAATGCAGGTTACACTTGATAGGTAAGTGTTTTAGCGATCGATCCACCTCTACCAAAAATCGATTATTAATTTTGTACCATTCTTTGATTGATTGATTGATTTCGAAAAAAAAGACCTGATTCATCGATTCGGTTTGGTGGTAATCATCATCAGTCATCGCCAATTGCTGCACGTCGTTTGTTTGTCGGTCAACAACAACAACGATCAAAGCATCATGGTAACAATGATCAGCAACAACATTACCACCAAAATCCACATCATTCAATGATAATGAATGGACGTCGATCATCAATATCATCAAATGAATCGCATCAAACATCTGTATCATCATCATCATCGTGTTCTTTGACTGATCATCCTAATCATCATCATAATGGATCGTCAACAATAGTACCACCAACAACAACAGTTGATGAACAATTTGCCATACCTGATCGCAATAATAATATCAAAGGGTTAATGGCTGCCAGTAATCATCGACCTATGGTAATCGTTGATCAAACAACCAAAACAACACCTATACCTGCCATACGCAGACGACAGCAACAAACATCGCAGCAGCAGCAGCTGTTGCAGCAACAACCTGCAATAACCAATAGATTACGTCGTCAATCGATTGAAAATGATAAAATATCTAATATGACGCCCACCAATACGCCTACCACATCATCACGTATACCGACAACAATTGCAGCAATAAAAAATCTAAGCAATAATAATCGATTAAATGGACGATTTATACCTGCAACAACAAATAAATTATCATCATCATTATTAACACCTGCACATAAAACCAAATCTACCTCTATTTGTTCATTGGTTTCTTCAGGTTCCAGTGGTGGTGGTTCTCGTATTCCAACCCCTTCATCATCATCATCGCTGAGTATGGATCATAGAAAATTTCTAACAAATTATTCGACGATGGCAACACCGCAGCAACAACAACATTATTCCAGTCATAATATCTATCTAGCTTGTTCGGGACAAACAACAACAGGTTCGGTTGATCAAAATGGATCATCAAAATCCAAATCAACAACATTGCAGAACAAAATTCAAAATCGTCATCAACAGCAACTGCAATCAGCAACGCCAATGCGACGTTATAACGGTGGTGGTGGTGGTGGTGGTTATAATAAATTAAATAAATCTACATATGATTTATCGGCTAGTCGTTCGATGGTAAATGATCATCATTCACCGTCATTATTATCATCAAATAAAGTGCCAAATGGCCATCATCATCAATATGATGGTGGCCGTCATCGCAATAATGGTAATTCGTCATCAAGTTTACCACGAACACGATCGATTGCAACGATTGCAGCAACATCGACTACGGCAACAGCTGCTGCAGCATCAGCAGCAACATTATCGCAATCAAATTCAAAAAAACGTTCGAATGATGTTGATCTAACTGCCGGAACGACAACGAAAATGATCATCGGTAAAAAACAACCACAGCAACATGGTGGAAGTATAACTAGTCTTAATTCAGCTGGATCTACTGAATGTGGAACTACTTCCAGTGGATCATCGAATGGATCATTAAATGAACAACAGCAGCAACAACAATCATCGAAAGCCAATCAAAAGATTCAGCAATCAAATGGATTGCAGCAACCAAATGTATCGACAACAACGAAATATATTGATGCAACAAAAACTATCACAAAACCTGGATCATCTGGATCCGGATCATCATTGGTACAAGTTTGCTCCTGGATCGAACGTAATCATTAACACTTTCTCTCTGTTGACTTTGTACACACTTTTTTAACCCTTTTTACACCAAAAAAAACAAAACAAAATTTTTTTTTGCTTTTCAATTTTTTGTTTCATCGGTTTTTTCTTCTTTAACGGGCATTCGTTATCTGATTTTATCTTTTGGTTTTTTCGCTCTTCAATCAGATTAAATTATTATTTGAAAATTTGTAAAAATTCTTGGATTTGTTTGTTTGTAATTAATAAAAAAATATATTCAAGTTGAAAAAACTTTTTCGGAAATATTTTTTTTCAGGAAATTTCTCAAAAAAATTGTCAACCAACCAACCGATCAGCGACAAACAGTGGGATTCAAGTGACCGGTGTGTCTCTTTTTCAGTCTGGACGATAATGATGATGGCTGGCTGACTAAAAAAGATTTCGACGGACTTTTTCAAGTCGGTCGGTCTTTGTGTGTTTGAATTTGAATTCAAAAAAAAAAAAAAAAAAAAAAAAAAAAAAAAAAAATTTTTTCTCCCCTTTCCCCCCCCGGGTTAAAAA